ATCAAGTTTATAAACAGATTATTTCATAAGTTCCTGCAGGACGATCACCCTCTCTGTCCCTGTGCAAAGATCTCATGCAATAACTAAACATGCATTCTCTTTTGTCTCCAGAAGAGGTCTTCTGAAATCAGCTTACAGGAAAAATATGATTAAAAGAAGAATGGTTGTGTCATTTTAGAAGCGTTTGTTTTTTTCTTCAGATTTGTACATTTTTCTGTTGCACTGATGAACAAAACAAAACCCCATCTCAGGCATAAAACGGATTCAAGAGAAAATTATCGATTCACCTTCTGAGACTTTTTTATACTATGAGTAATTTGCAGCATGGTGTCCCTCATTTGTCAGAGCCTGTGGAGCAGCACTCCCACCGTGCAGAGATCATCAACATTCAGAGCTGCAGCCACATGTCCCAGTTTCCAGATAAACCACTGACATGTTAAATGAGGTAGAAGGTAAAGTGATGTCTCTCTGCTGTCACGAGAGTAACGGACACGCTGACTCACATACAGGGAGAGTTTTTACAAAGTGGTGTTTTCGTTCAAACCCTCTCTGTGTCCTCTAAAACAGTCCCCAGCATTGAACTTGGCTAAGTAGGTAAATGTGATTGAGTATTGATCCAAACACTGGAGGTTTCGTTTCCATCCAACGCTTTAAAGGACACAAGGAAAGGAATGAGAGGGGGGAGTCCTTAGAGAGAACCCCCCTGCTGCTTTGAGGCCTCTTCATTCACTCGGATGTCTAAAAATATTTTCTGTGTCACACTTACCAGAATCACGGACTCCAGAGGGTGAGAGCGCTGAGGTATATAGTCTGGAATTTCTAAAATGCTTAAATTTGAATAGCTGACCCTGTTCTATGACAAAAAGTAGGTAATCTATTATAACTTATCCAGGGTAACTCTGAAGTGCCTTTTTTTCCCTCCACCTGAACCAATCCTCATGTAACCCTCTTATCTCTATAAAGGTAGCGCAACTCGGGTTGCGAATGACCACAGTCACCAATTCTTGTCATGTGTCTTGCCCATGTATGTCTGATCTCTGAATTGTGTGTACTGAAACTCTAAATTCCCTGTGGGATTAATAAAGGATTGATTGATTGATTGATTGATTTCCCTCCCCTGGCCTCAACAGCAGAACCAATCATTGAGCCTTGAGTCTTTGACTTGTGCATCCACAAGAGGGAGCTGTCAATGATGAAATGATTGTATAGCACCTTTCACAGACAGAGGACTCCATCAGAGGCGGAGCTGGCCTAAATGGCGCCCTGTGCGAGATCCCCCTGTGACGCTCCCCCCCCTCCCTTCACACACACACACACACACACACACACACACACACACAACTTTGTTTCAAATTGTGTGGAGTGTATATATAACGTTTGCTAACTGAACACAACATCCAGCTCCTGGCCACCTTCTCACCACTTGTCAAAGTTCTACTGAAATAGACACACTTAACGCAACATGATGGTATCATCGACTTGTACAGTACAGATGTGCTGAAAGGCAAGAGTCTCAACTTTCAGCTAAAAAAAGACCGCTCTAGCTATTATAGTTTTTATTTTATGGCAGTTTACAGTTTAAACGGGATCATACTAGCGGGGCACTTCCAGCGGCCCGCTGCCGCTCCGTTTTTCATGGGGTAAATAATAGCTCATTTCCCGATTCCAAAAAGAAAGAATGGTCCTACCAGCTCGCCACTTCAATATGAAGATCAGTTCAACATGGGGAAAAAAACCTGACCTGTAGGCCAGAGAAACGTTCATTAACACATCAAGTTCTATTCAGTTTACCGGTAAACATATCACGAATGTACAACAGGTCAATTATTAATCATCTTGGCTACGTAGCTCAATCTATGCATTCCAGTAGCATTTGCTACAAATACAAAAACAACAATAAAGGAAAACAACTGTCTGACAGACAGCATAGCCGAATTCAAGGCAACACATAACAATAATCATTTGATTGCTCTTGGTTTCAAGTTAAGCCCACTAAAGTGCTTAAGTAAATAAAAGTGTTTCAAAAACAGCGTTTTTGAACCGGAGTTCTGCTCGCGGTGGGAACTCCGCCGAACAAGGTCATTTTTATAGCGAAAACGATCGACTGGTCACTGACAAGTAAAAGGGTGTTATTGGTAGATGTTAAGAACACTTACCGCTGAGGTAAAATGAGAGTATAAATGAATTGAGGGGAGAAAAACGCTTTGTTTTCCAACGCCGTTCTACAAGCAACAAGCTTACAGCCACGGCAGGAGCAGCTTTCATGTTTGCCGCGACGTGGAAGGAGCCAATCAGGAGAGGGACCTCACATCAGCTGACGTGGGTCATGTGACAGGGAGTAGTTGATATGGGTTACGCTTTGTTGTGCTTTTATTACAGAAATATTATTATTATCATCACTATTATTATTAAGAACATGCGATTTCTATGTTTTGTTTATGTATTGGTTGATGCTAAAAAAAATATTTTTTTAGAAAAAAAAAGAAGAAAAAAGGAAATTAAATGCCGCCCCCTGCAGACTGCCGCCCTGTTCGGCCGCACATGTTGCACATATCAAGCTCCGCCACTGGACTCCATAAAGCTTTTCACTACAGCATTCATCCATGCACACATACAGCTGGTGGTGATGAGCTACCATGTAGCCACTGCTGCCCTGTGGTGCACTGACTGGGTCGAGGATGCCAAGCTCAGGCGCCACCAATCCCTCCGACCACCACCAGCAGACAAGGTGGGTTAAATGTCTTGCCCAAGGATACAACTGTAGAATTCTTTGCCAGGAGCTGGGATAGATCCTCCAACTTTCCGATTACTAGACAACCTGCTCAACCTCCTGAACTACTGCTGCCCATTCAATGAGAACATGCCCCTGTTCCCAGCATGCACTATGGCAGGGATACCAACTCTCGCGCAATGATCACATGCATTTGACTGTCCTACTCAATTTGTCACACTGAAGAAGTTCATCTGAGCTATTGTAGCTATTCATTGTTGCTTAAGGAGCTGAAGCTACCTATGAATCCCCCTCCTCCCTACCCCCTGAGTCGAAGGTCTCCAACGTAGGAGGAAACCTACCCCCCCCCCCCCCACACACACACACACACACACACAGGGAAAAATCTCACTCTTTTGTAAAAGTTACGCAGACACCTCTGTTATCTACACCAACCTAGCTTGAATGCTAACTGCAACTGCATTTAATTAATGTCGGTTTGTAAACTTGAGCTAACTGAGGAAGAAGAGGGAGGGGAACAAAAAGGGATTCGTTTATTTTGTGTGTGTGTGTTTTGAAGCTAAGTGATTAGCATAGCATTCAACCTTGCGCTACACCCAAGCCCCCACAATGCGGCTCAGAAATTGGTTTCAACCCGGAAGTACCAAAAATTGCAGTTCCACCCTCATCCGCTGGGGGCTGGTGTCAGAAGCGAGCAAATCCTCATTGACTCCCATGTTAAAAATACCAATTTCACAGCAGAAACAAACATGTTTACAGCCTGGTACCAAAACATGTTTTTTGTTTAAATGATCTAGTTTACACTCATGACAACTCTGAGGGGGGTGAATTTTTTGTCACTCTTCTGTTTAAGTGTAATAAAAGCCTAAAATTCTGTATAATTAATGAGCATTAGACCCACGTGACCACAGAGCTAGCTCCGTGGAAAGGCCTCAGTAGAGCCTCGGTCTGGCTTGGAAACTGCTCTGGGATTTTGAGTCTCTGTGTTTGTGTATTCTTTTTTGGATGTTTTTTGTGCAATTGTTGGACAAAATGACTTGCTGTGGCATTAATTGCACTAATAGAGCGTCCAAGGAGTCTCCACTTCATTTTTTTCAGTAAGTAAAATTATATTTATGTATTTTAGGTCACTGCCAAGCTGAGCTTAGATTTTAACATGTACTGTTTAACCATGAAATTTAAATGTAATAGGGTAAAACCCAGTGCATTTAACATAATGCTGCACTTTAAAAAATGGGTTGAAATATAACATGTTGGTGGAGCTCTCGGGAGACCGATGTTTTCCACCCGTTCTCGCCTCCCCACAGCTCGGCGCATCTGTCTGATCGCGGCTTCTGTGTTTTGCGCAGGCTGACAGCTGGGTCTCCCTGCAGCTCGGCACATCTCTGTCTATCGCGGCTTCTGTCTGCTGCGCGGGTTGACGGCTTGTGGAGCTCTGGGATGGAAACTTTTCCACCCGGTTCTCCCCAGCGGCAGCTCTGCGCATCTCAGATCGCAGCGGCGCTTGTCTGCTGTGCGGCTGCCGGCTTATGGAGCTCTCTGAGACCTCTGTGTTCCACCCGGTTTTACCCAGCGTTCAGCCCGGCGTATCTCTGACTCAGAAGCTCTGGTGTTGTGCACAGTTAACTCCGGTTGTAGCTAGGTTGCTACCTCCGTTAGCTTAGCTCCCACCTCCGCATTAGCTTTGGTTTAGCTTCAGGTTAGCTTGTAGCTAGTTCGACCGGGTGTCGTCAGTTGATCCCAGCCTTACAGCCCCACCCTCAGCTCCACCTCTTTCTTTTTATGGAATTGTCTGGGCTTGATGGAACCTGTGACACGGTCAAAATGGCGGTGGTGGCCACCTCCCATTTTAGTACAAAAACTTATTGGAGTCTATGGAAACCCATTGTCCATATATGTATGTCGATGGCTACACTGGACAATGGTTTAAGCCCGTTTTAGCGTTACCAGGAGTGTGTTAAGAGAACAACTGCTCTATTCCTGCTGGTTTCAGATGTTTCCATAAATGATGTTTACATTAATTAAAAAAATGCAAGTCAATGGGGTGATAAGTTATTTTCTAGTTTGACGTAAAATTAGTGAGATGAGCAGTCGCCGTCCTAAATTAACTTTTTCAGCCTGTTGAAAATAAGTGTTTTCTTTATCCTTCATCCTCATGTCACGCTACGGACCCCAGCTTCAACGGACAAGAATAATTTTAGCAAGAAAAATACAAACATTAGTTCTTAATAAAAGAAAACTTGAAACAAAAATACATCAAACACAAATGTGATTTCTGAAATTTTTTTATTCTCCTGGCATGGTTTCATTTTCAGTCGACAAGCACAAATCACCCTGCCCTCAGTTCGGTTTGGAGCCTCGACACAAATGCCAAGTCTCACGTCAAAGTCACTACTCACACACATACACACACATAACTACACACACACACACACACACACACACACACACACACACACACAGCCATCGTTCCCCAGCTAGAAGGCATCCACGCAGGATTACGGGCACTATGGAGATATTATATCATAGCAGCACCATGGCAACGCTGCCTACAGCCAAGACAAAATAAAATGCCAAGGCAGTCTCAGTATGCTATTGCTTCTGAAGGATGGTGTCGAAGGTTCACATTTCAGCGTATCAATATGATAGGAAGACCCTGAAGAACATTGATGGCACAAAGAGAGCTGCAGATATTTACAGCACGGGCTGTAACTGTGTTCAAAATGCCGACACACGGGCACAACCATGCACGCACGCTAAAGTTCAAACATGCTTCCCAGAAGCAGTGAAATGATAACATGTCTTAGACATCAATAACAGCAGAAAACAAATCACATACAGAGATACAACTTTAAAAGAAAACAATGTTCTCTTTGGGCAAGATCATCACTGAAGGTGTGGAGAGGAAACCAAATCCAGTGAAAGCCAACACAATGTGTTCTGTAGACATCATCACGCTACAGTTCAAAGCATGGTAATGGACCCGGTGAGTATGTCCCTTTTTCAGATTTCTCCTGCAGTTATTTATTTTATTCAACATTTTCACAACACAACTAGTATTTTATTAAATACCTTTTAGAGTACAAGTGTAGATCGCCTTATCTTACTACTAGATCATTGTATCGTTCGCTTTTAATAACATGATTAAGTGCACATGGAGCAAAAAAGTTTGATTCTTTAGGTTAAAGCTTCAAATTTCTTTGGGTGATTTTTTTAAATGGACACTATAAGCCAAATTGTTGATGAAAATGGCCTGTTTTAAATAAAGGAAACAGCAGGCCACCCAAAAAATAAACTGATGTAGAAAATTCTAAAAATCACTAAATCAGTTATTTAGATCTGATAGTTTAGCTAAAGACTCCATTCATGAGCAATTAAAGTTTAACAAAAACTTAAAGTTACTAACTTTAGCCAAAGATCACCTCAAAAACAATACAGAAACCATCATGATCAAACTCACTGGTGCTGGCTGTTTTCTTTAACCTTTCTCAGGTGTGTTTGTTTAATCTTTTTCGTGATATTGGACTAAATGCTGATGACTTATGAGAAAAAACAACAACAACAATGGAATAATAAATAAAAACACAATGTCATACTCTTAAAAATACACAGTTATTTTAACTTGTAATCACAAATAAAATGAATTGTTCCAAGTTCAGAACTGGAAACTAATCCTGAAAGTGTGACTCAAAGCTGGCTTTGAAATACAAATTTAAAAATATAAATAAGTACTATGTTGTTACCCAACAATATGATAAAGCATAATGTGCCTCTCTAACTCAGCACCGTGAAAAGCCCAGGTGGATGACTTGGCCTCAGGTTGTTGTTTGAGGCTCAGACTTTGGCTTCAGGACTCTGATCTAAAGGAAGGAAAGAAGAGCGAATTCTCTGGACTTCATTAACACACAAATGACCAAAAATCTTGTTGTACCATTCTGGAGATCTTCCCCTGGAATATAAAAAGAATACATGGAATTTAAATTAAGATTTACTTTAGTTATGTCACTTTCTATCAGATCTGTTTTTAAAGCTTTTTCTCAAATCTCAACACAATCAGAGATATTTGGTATAGTACGAGAAGAGTATAACATATACAAACACCTTTTATTAAATAAACCTTTAAGTTTTTTAGAGTTGCAATTGAATTAAATAAATTACATATTTCACAGTTTTTACCTAAAACAATTTAGTTTCCTTTTCCTTTCATGAGAACTTCACATTAAACCATTTTTAACAGGAATGTCCGATATTATCCCAAAAAGCCGACATTGAACATCCTTAATTATTATTTCCTTAATTATTTCACTTTCTCACTAAAACAAAAAATGGGGGTCATCAACAAAAGTCACAAATGTTACCTTAAAAAAACAAAGACATACATAAACAACTTGGGTACTGGTACAGAACCTTGTGGTACGCCACAAATTACATTTCTGTTATAGATAAGGTTTAATGAATTTTTATTCTTGATATCTGTGTCACACCTCAAGTTCTCCAGTGTTCAGATTTATCAACTGTGTTAACTCTTATAATAACACATAATATTTACAAAAATTTAGTAAAAGGGGAAAAAAACACCTACTGACCTGAGATCAACTCTAGAAATGTGTGTGAGCCTGGTCCTCCCTGTCCCACAGGGCTCAAGGAGGTATTGTGACTCCAAGACCACCCCCCTAACAGCTCCGGTGCAAGGGCTGTCTTCATGTTCAACAGACACACACACCAGCGCACAGGAGCCTTTGCCCATGTCTGTACGCCACGATCTGAGTGTCCACGGAGACACAAGTAGGTGAATTTGACATCAGACTCATTAAATTGTCACAAATGAGTCAGTGAACGTACCTTAGTACCACATAGTCACAGATGGGTTGAGGCGTCATATTACAGCAGGAGTAATGGTACACGTCCGTCTGTTTGTCCAGTGTCTCCAGAACCTTCTCTTGCTGTAGTTCGGTCAGCCACAGAGACCGCTCTCTCAGCAGCCGCTGCAACACCTCAGTGGGAGCCGCCGACACCTCGATTGAAACCCGCCACCGCCTTAGAGGATTCCCGTCTCCGACCTTAAACACAAACATGAACAGCTGAAGCATTTACCTTAATAAAATGACGATCTAGAAGTGTGATAACTATTTTCTATTTAAATGCCAGTACCTTTTTAAATGCCAGTTCTGTGTGGTCAGAAGACGGACGGGACATCCAGCTTTTTCCTTTATCTTTAGCCTCTTTGAGCAGGCTCTGGATCAGCCTTTCCAGGTGTGCATGATAGGAACTTTCCTCATCCTCCTCCACGTCCTCGTCGTCCTCATGAGCCTTGCAGAGCTCGTTCAGCGGAGGCACCATCAGCGCAGCCTCCATGTAGGAGTTACGAGACTGGGTCACCATTTCTTCTGGGATCTAGGAAGAAGACGAGGAAGTGTACTAAAATACTTCAGGTCAGGCACAGAATCATCTTTAATGAAAATCTTTTAGTAGAAAGCTAAAAATTAACCACTAAAACAATCACATTTGACAAGAACCAGGTTCATCCTGGTCATTTCTTCTCATTCTTCGGGTTAAAAAGGGTCAGTCTCAGTTTTTTGAAAAACAAAAAAGTGCTTAAACCAAAATAATCTCCAGAAAAAGCAAACTAATCAGTCCTATTTCTCTCCGTCTCCAACAGCAGCCGTTTGCTGTATTTACTGACGGCATTGAGGAAATGAGGAGTCAACACTTTGGAACTGAGCTCAGCAAACACGACTCCAGCGTAACCTTGAATAGTAATAACTCAGCACAGGAAGCTTTGGCTTCAGTTTTCATGTCTAATTTAAAATTTACTTCATGCATTATCTTGGAGAAATAAATTCTGCTGACCTGAAAAAGATGTTGGCATTCTGCGATCATGTGGGACAGACCCTGAGTGGCAGCAAAGTTCTCATTTAGATCTTTCTGATCCGGACGGCCTGTCGTGTACTTCTTCTGGATCGACCTGACGGAATAGAAAAGACACAAAATGATTTCAAACTAACTAAAAATAATGATTATATATTTACTAGAATTTTTATACTAAAGCAACTACAAGATATTAACATTTTAGATTTAAAAAGCTATGAAGAAGTCACTAATTTAGGTTCCCAAATTAAAGCTGGGTTAAAAATTATAACAGTTTGAAAGCAACTTAAAAATATTTAAATGTGACTAACTGACCCTGTTCTAGGACAAAAAAATAGGTGATGTTTCATAATTTATGTTTCTCTAAAACCCCTCCCTTACCCTATACAGCAAAACAAATCATTTACAGGAGCCTAGAGCGTTGACCAATAGGGTTGTGTATCCACAAGAGGGAGCTGTCAATCAACAACAATGAACCCCAGCTCCCAGCATGCACTACGGGGTGATGCAAACGCCTCAATCAACTTAGCATACCAACCTAGCTTGAATGCTAACTCGACCAGCATAGAATTAGTGTCAGTCTGTAAACTTCAAGCTAAATGTGAAAGAGGAGAGAAGGCAATGAAAGGGAATTTATATTTTGTGTATTGGAGCTAAGTGGTTAGCATAGCTACATCAGACTATTGTTTTAGCCTGTTGTAGAGTTAGCAGGGGTGTGCTAGCATCACAAGTGTCAGATTCCTGCCAGTTTTAGATGTTTCCCTGCTTAAGCACTGCAAATGTGATTAAAACAAGAGATTAGACGCTGCTAAAGAACCCGATGAAGGCTGAAGAGATATTTCAGCAGGTAGTGATTAGGGTTGTCACGGTAACCGGTATAGCGGTAAACCCCGGTAAAAAAGTTGACAATAAAAATAACCGTCCAGTTTTTAAAAAACTATATTATCTCGGTGGGTTTACCGTGGCCGCGGTTTCGGCGCGATGACCCTTACCAGCCACCGTCGCTTCAGCTGAAGTTCCCGCTGCGCGCACACGCACTTTTTAATTTGCAACGGCACCAAAACTTTGAAGCTGAAATAATGGCCGAAGGAGGCGACGGCAGCGCCCAGGACATCCATCAGCCCCCAAAGAAGACTAAATCGGAAGTATGGGCATATTTTGGATTTCTGAAAAATGCTGAGGGACAGTTAATAGAAGACTGCTATCCCGTTTGCAGAACGTGCAGGAAACAAGTGTCTGCAGAAGGCAGCAACACTTCAAATCTCATGGCACATCTGCGTGACGATCACCCACGTCTCCACAGCCAGTGCAAGGTAAGTTAACATTAGCATTTTAGCTGAAATGCATGACGTGAGGACTTCTGGTTGACGGAGAATGCAACGAGTCACTATATACTGCAGCCGCAGCGTCCTCTGCCAGCATTTAAACCGTGTCACGGACACCCTGTTGCTGGATGAAGCATCTTATTTGTTGATGATGAAGAGAAATATACAATTAGTTCCTTGTCATGGATTTGTTTACTTATTCAATGCCATTTATACTTGAACATTTGGATTTGATTACATAGTGTAGTAGTTATTTTAGTAATTTGTTTAAAGTGGATATTTATTTTAAATACATATTTTTTAAGGTTGACTTGTACAGTGCTCAAGTCAAGTGTGGACTGGAGTTTTAGATTTTCATTTTGATAATGAAGAAAACAAGTATATGAGAAAACAAGTGGTGTTTCTTTGATTTGTTTACATATTGTTTATGTTTTGAATGTTTGGATTTGTATAATTTAAACCTGCACTGACTACTGTAACAAGTTCCAGAAAAATAAGCTATTTGTTCCTTTACTTGTGAAAAGTTGCACTTTTGCTAAGGCTTTGTGTTATTTTAGGTTTAATAAACACTGTTAAACCTTTTCAGAACTATTTCAGTTTGTGTAGAACAGGACTATCAATGCTTTCTGAACATATGCAACACCGTTTAAAAAATACCGCGATAATACCGAAAACCGTGATAATTTTGGTCACAATAACCGTGAGGTTAAATTTTCATACCGTGACAACCCTAGTAGTGATGTGTGTGAGAAACATTACTTGTCCGTGAGCGCTACAAGGCTATTTGTGTCTCCTTGATGACATCAAGCTACGGACCCTAGCTTTAATGTTTTCCTCGCTGCCCACCTCGGTGACAGAGTCTCGTTCTTCAGGATGCTGAGGTGGAAGAGCGACGGTCCGAGACAAACAGCCAGATTCATCGGCGTCATCTGGTTCTCCTCTACCAAGGAAGTGACATCACGCAGGAAGTAAAGCAGTGTCTGAAGAACTTCCCTGTTTTCATCTGGCATCAACAAAATGGCGGCTCTGACTGCCTGCAGCCTCTGCTCTTTTGGAACATCTGATAAAAAAAGAGAAGTCACGATGGATCTGAAATGACAGATAGCTGTTGCTGAAGCAACATGTAAAAAAAGAGACTTACACTGGTAAATGTGCAGAAAGGTTTCCCCCAGCTTGCTCGTGAGCAGAGGCTCGGGCAGATCCCTGAAGAACTGTTTGACCATGTCGGCCACGTCGTACGCTGATTGGTCCTCGTAGCTCATCCAGTCAGGAGACAACTCACACTGCTGCCTCAGAGCGTGGATCCGAGACTTTACGCCAGACTTCCGGAACAGTCCCACCTGAGAGCGGAGCACCAGAGGGGAGGAAGCATAAGCAGTGGGCTCCCAGCTTTGTGTTCAGTTTTAACTAGTAGAACCTGTTGTCTCACCTGGTCCAGACAGTGAGATCTGAGGTGGCTGAGGGCCTGCTGTAAACACAGAGGAAGAGGAAACCCACAGCGCTGGACGTGGACAAATAGAGGAACACCAAACACACTCTTCTCTTTGTAGTCCGGCACCTTCATGCGCTTCATAAACTTTGGCACGGACCTGCCGGCGACAAAGAAAAAGATTAGGGACGTATGTGGAAGAAAGAGCACGTCTTGCTTTTATTATCTCCTCAGCAGGAAATCCCTTCAGGGTTCAATAAAATAACAGGACTGAGTGCTAATGGTACCGGGACACGCTTGTGTTTGTGGACGACGGCGACTGAAAGTGCCACGAGTAAAAAAAAAAAAATCTAAATCCAGGTGTTGTTAAACATTTACACATGGACAAACTCATTGATGTTTAACTGGATGTTTCAGGTCATACATGAAGGTGTTAATGGTGCACGTGGTCCTGCTGTTAAGAGCTACAGTAGATCTGAAGGGCACATTAAAACTAATTCACAAGGAGCATGCAGGAACCGTGCAAAAACGAGAACGAGTCTGTAAACATGCAGACTGGATGTGTTAGGAGTGTAGCAGCATGCACGCACCACGTCCAGCCGTGTTTGTTGGACATGGAGTATTTCTCCATGATGGCGGTGAGGCGGAGCAGAGAAAACTTCTGCAGCAGGCTGAGCTGGCCTGCTGATTGGCTGCTGATCTGTAGTGAAGATGCTGGCTGGTTGAGATGATCAGAAGTCCTGAAACTGGGCCACCGTAGACTGAGGAGAGTGGAACATGTCAAGAGAGTTATGACAGTCTGTGAATTCATTATTAGAAACAAAATATATTTAAATTTGTGTCCTATTTGTTATTATTTAGGACAATTGGATTGTTGATCATGTTAGTTTTACATATTTGTCTTTGTTTATGTAAGACAAAACTCCGCTCATAAAGATGACAAATTTTAATCATAAAAAGAGAGTTTAACTCAGAGAGCCAACTGTGTTTAACCCTTTGGTGATTGGCCCCCTGGAGTGCATCGGTTCTCTCACTCATCTGTTCTTTGCACAATGATGAGATTAAAGGTGATGCAATTCCAAGTCCAATTATTCGTGGTGCTAATGTACCAAATAGGAATTTCTAATGTGATGTCAGATTCAGGAGGAGCAATGTGGTTTTCGTCCTGGCCGTGGAACTGTGGACCAGCTCTATACCCTTGCAAGGGTGATGGAGGGGGCATGGGAGTTTGCCCAACCAATCCACATGTGTTTTGTGGATTTGGAGAAGGCTTATGACCGTGTCCCCAGGGGCACCCTGTGTGGGATGCTCCAGGAGTATGGGGTGGGTGGCTTTCTGATAAGGGCCATTCAGTCCCTTTACCAGAGGAACGTGAGTTTGGTCCACATAGCCGGTAGTAAGTCGGACCTGTTCCCGGTGAGGGTTGGACTTCGCCAGGGCTGCCCGTTGTCACCGGTTCTGTTCATCACTTTTATGGACAGAATTTCTAGGCGCAGCCGTGGTGTGGAGTGTGTTGAGTTTGGTGGCAGGAGAATCTCGTCTCTGCTCTTTGCGGATGATGTGGTCCTCCTAGCTTCATCCAGCTCTGACCTTCAGCTCTTGCTGGGTAGGTTCGCAGCCGAGTGTGAAGCGGCTGGGATGAGGATCATCACCTCCAAATCTGAGACCATGGTTCTCGACCGGAGAAGGGTGGCTTGCCCCCGGGTCGGGGGAGAGGTCCTACCTCAAGTGGAGGATTTTAAGCATCTCGGGGTCTTGTTCACGAGTGAGGGTAGGAGGGATCGGGAGATCGACAGGCGGATTGATTCGGCATCTGCAGTGATGCAGACGCTGAGCCGATCTGTCGTGGTGAAGAGGGAGCTGAGCCAGAAAGCCAGGCTCTCGATTTATCGGTCGATCTACGTCCCAATCCTCACCTATGGACATGAGCTTTGGGTAATGACCGAAAGAACGAGATTGCGGATACAAGCGGCCGAAATGAGTTTCCTCCACAGGGTGGCCGGGCTCAGCCTTAGAGATAGGGTGAGGAGCTTGGACATTCGGGAGGGACTCGGAGTAGACCCGCTGCTCCTCCAGATCGAAAGGAGTCAGTTGAGGTGGTTTGGGCATCTGGTAAGGATGCCTCCTGGACGCCTCCCTGGGGAGGTGTTTTGGGCATGTCCTGCCGGCAGGAGGCCCCCGGGTCGACCCAGGACACGTTGGAGAGGTTACATCTCCAATCTGGTCCGGGAACACCTTGGGGTCCTGCCGGAGGAGCTGGTGGAGAAGGCCGGGGAGAGGACGGTCTGGAGCTCCCTAGTTGGGATGCTGCCCCCGCGACCCGGACCTGGATAAGTGGAGGAAGACGAAGACGACGAAGACGACGATGTCTTATGTGGATGTTGGACTAATACTTGGCCCCTTTATGGCCCCCATACTCAGAAAAATCCTAGCTCCGCCACTGGTTGTAAGATTGTAGGTCTTTTAGCTACAGATGAAATGTAGTCACGTCTTAATCTTGCATTTCTAACAGTAAAGTGACAACGATGTTCCAAACATTTTTAAACCCATACTTTAACTTCTGTCATTCATAACTTCAATATTTCTCTTTTTACATTTATGTTTGTTTTATGTCAGAATTAAGTGATTTAGTCGTGTTGGACTATTGGCTTATTTAAAAGACTACATGACTTATTGCTGTTTTTAACTGTTTAGTGTGGTGGTGTTGGCACAATTTCATCAATTGGTGTGAAGTCCATCAGGTATTTAACCAATAAAAACTGAGGCTAAAACTACCCAGGTTATACAGAATGTTCACGCAGTGACTCACCGAGGTCTTGTGAGGGAGGCGCCGACTCCAGAGTCCCGCCTCTCCCGACTGGTCCCTGTTGAATCTGTGTCGTTTAGGGAGACCCCATCTCTCTCCCCTTCACTGGGGGTGGTCCTGCCCTCCCCTTCCTCCTCCCCCGTTTCCCCCTCTGGTAGAACACTGCGGCTCCAGTGGTCCACTATCTGCTGCAAACCGCTGACGTGCTGGATGATGTCATCTAGGTGAGGAAACAAGTTGTCCTCCTTCTCCAGGTCCAGCAGGTCTCCGGTGCTGGCGTACAGGTGGGAGCCGGGTACGTTGTCATAAACACTCACCCTGCTCCCCCGCGGGGCTGCAGGACAGGCTGGTTTAGATAAAGGTTTACCAATCCAGAGTCCACCAAGGCCGTTCTCGGGGGAGGAGGTTTGGTTTTGTGACTGGGAGCTGTTGTTCTTGTCACCGGTGGACGGTGCCAGGCTTTCTATGGATAACGCTTTGGGAAAGGTTCCTGGTTTGTGGTCTTTGGGGATGTGGATGAGGAGATTTTCATATGAATGAAAGTGGTTTCTCTGACCTTCAGTCCTCTTACCCCTAGAAGGTAACTCCATATCCTCCAGGTACATGCTGCTTCTCTTACTGGCAGTTCTGGGTTTAGCAGGTTCCTGAACGCTGAGAACCGCCGACTCATCGGTGGGACTCACAGTCTCAGTGTCTTTACAGTTCTGGCTAACAAAAACGGAATCATCTTCATCAGTTTCATGGATTTCCTTTGGACTGTTCTGTAATTGGCTGATGGGAGTACACTGGAGCACCTGAAGTGCCTGAGGCTCCTCCCCCTGTAACACCGGCCCACTGATGACCAATGGTGGCCTGCGATTTGAGCTTTTCCGCCTCGTTGATGGCCCCCAAGTTCGCATCATTTCCATTCGACGCAGAAACTCTTTAGCTTTGCTCCGCCCTCCTTGCCCGAGGCGACTGCTCTTGATTGGTAAGGAGTTGTAGTGTGGAAGTTCCCTTGGCAGTTGGTAAGAAGCAGTGAGGGACGCCATGGATATTGAGTCTGGTAGAGCGGAGGCTGAGTCTTCACTGTGGAGCGAGGAGACTTCTGTGATCTCCTGCTCACTCAAGTCTGTCAACACGCTCTCACTGCTCACTGTGCTGCGTAGACCCTCTTCCTGACCCGTCGGGCTGCTCTCATTGGTGCTGTCCAACAGGAAGTCCTGTAGACGAGACCAGCGTCGACTGCTCCACTCAAACGTCCACCTTTTGCTAATGGCCAAAGGGTCATCTTCATCAGAGTCATCACTCTACAAAGTAACACAATCAACAAAACATTTTAGTCTCTGGTCATACACAAAGTTCTCCAAACAACATGACTTCCATTGAGCACTTTTCTGTGTTATCCTCGGAAATTTTTGTATTTATTCCTTCATATTAGGATAAATCAAAACTAGCAATAGGCTGCATTAGTTTCCCTGGAAACAGACCAGCTCCACTTTTTCAATAAAGGTCCTGCAAAAAGGAAACTGCACAATATTCTGCCAATTTTAGGGTACAAGCTAGGAGAGTGCCTCACCCGAACGGCAAATGATGCAAGATTGTGCACCAGGCTGGAAAGCCTGTGATGATTAACGTTAAAGTTCCAGTAGTCATCACACACTGGTGAAAGTCATCTCCTCATTTGACCCATCCCCTGGGATAGCGGTGAGCTGCAGCTGTGACTGCGCTCGGGAACTTTTTGGTGGTTTATATATATGATTAAAGGGATTTACTAAGTAGTCTTGGCTTGCTTTTAGCACCCCCCCACTGTCCGTTAGTAAAAGCAAAAGTAAAACTCCCCTCGTTGCTGCATGTTCGTCTTTTTAACACCTTAATCTTACCGCTGAAATGTCTGCTCAGCCTTATTAGCAAGGAACTGCACTGCTCTGGGTGGCTGCATGTTGGAGTGGCTCTGTTCAATCAATCAATCAATCAATCAATCAATCAATCAATGTTTCAATCTGTTGACTATATGTAAGTTTTGCCTTTTCTTGGGCATTTTTTCTTCTAGTTTCTCAAGAAAATCGGTATTTTGTTTCTGGTGCTTTGAAGCTTTGATGATTTTTACTGCTATTTTTGAGCTTTTTCACTTTTTGAGCATTTGTTATGATGTGTAACCATGGCAACAAGCTGGTTTACAATTGGGAGCAGCTGATTAACATTGGAAAGGCTGAAATAATACCTCAACTGAAGCCTCAAATCCCAAATGAGCTAAAACGCAAGAAGTGTGGATGCAGAGCGGGAGCAAAACAGAGACAGAGAAAAAGGAAATTCAAACCATCTCTTCCATTGATCATAATGGGCAATGTGAGATCACTGGCCAACAAGATGGAGGAGCTCCAAGGCCTTTCGAGGACTCAGCCAGAGTTTCGGCAGTTTTGGAACCGCTGGAGGAGATAATGCAAAGAAGGATTCTCCAGAGAATCAAGAAAATGATGGACAACCCTGAGCATTCTCTTCATAAGACTGTCCGACAACAGAAGAGTGTCTTCAGTCAGAGGCTTCTTCAGTTTCGCTGCAACACTGACCGCTACTGGAGATCCTTCCTGCCAACAGCCATTGTAATATACAACAACTCTTTGATGACTTGATTATTATTATTATTCTGAGCTACTACAGCAATCAATTTCCCTCTGGGATTAATAAAGTATTTTTGAATTGAATTGAATTGAATTGAATTAGTGTCTACAGGAGTGATTCATCACTAAATTAAACAAATCAGCTGTGTTCATGATCTAAAACATGCTGGATGCAAACTCCAGTGACGGCCATGTAAGCCCCACTTAACTAAATCCACCAGGGGCCAGAACAGTAACTCTGAAGTTGCAAGTGCAGTTTTCTGGCCACAAGGGGTAGTGGGGTCATGAGTGGCATTTCATTAACCCTATAAAGGGTCATTTTAGCACATACTAGCTCAAGAAATCTATTTTAAAATAAGAAAAAGTTGCATAGTATGCATTTAAAACCAGATAAATCTAGTAAATCTGCCTTTATAACTTAAAACATAATATGTAGTTCTGTAGCTGATACATGTTTATGAATTTATTTGCTGATATCACATAAAGTGATATCAGCAGTTTAATTTGACTGTTTCAGTACCTTCCAGAATGAGGGTTCTGTCACTAAGACAACAAGCTGGAACTGGCCGTGCCCACCCATTCCCCACTCAGACTGCTATAAGCTTAGAGGGTCCGATATCCGGGAGGGGCTCACAGTAGAACCACTGTTCCTCCAGCCTGGAGAGGTCAGAGGTGATTCTCTGCTACTGTCCTCATTTGTGATGTCACAAATGGGTAATGTTTCAAATTAATTGTTTTGGGCACATCATTCCTAAAACCTAAAACCGACGGATTAATTTTTTTTCACATTTGGTGTTCATATAAGCAGTAGAGACTCACATGGCAGCACAAAAGGATGCAAAAGGTGAGTTTTGCATCATGTTCCCTTTAAAAGTTGTCTCACTGCATCAAAAAATACCAGAACTTTATTGGATGTATCTGTCAAGACGGCTCCTCGAATTGAAGGCTTTGATGAAAAACTGAGTCTTTTTAAAGAAAACACAAAAAGATCAGCAGCTAACTGAGTCATTGGAATTGCAGAAGAAGCAAAGGTGCCCCTAATTACAGCATCAGTGACTGTTTTTAAAAAAAGCTGATCTTCCAGCTGCGAGACACTTTAAGAAATCAGCTCTGAAACACAAACAAACACTTTCTTCACACAAAGCACACCAAAAATTATAGAAATAAGGCTTTCAGTTGGTGTGAAAAACATCAACACCCATGAGCAGCGTTTACAAAGGATTACTTTTTTACTTCTTTAGAAATTGAAACAAACTACAGAATAATATAGCTAAAAATCTTATGAAATAGCTTAAAGAAGGCATAAAGAACATTAAGAGTATATTAGAAGAAAAAACACTTACTCTCTTCTTGGGGTGGCTGACATCCAGTTTCATGGAGGCACACTTGTTTAGAGTATTTAAACGTCTGCAACACACACACACACACACACACACACACACACACACACACACACACACACACACACAGTCACAACTGGGTTTTCTGCTCTGTGACTCCTCTCACATTCCCTCTGTAATCTTCCCATCCTCAAAATCCACCCTTCTCTCTAATTCCTGTCTGATTAGTCACTGTCAGCAGGACTCCTTTTCATTTTCTTCTTTAATCTTTCACACCTCTCATTGCACTGTCTGACTTACTTTCTCTCCCTCTTTCCACCCCCACTGCCTCCACTCCCAAATGCAGCAAAATCCTCTTCTACATCCCCCCCCCCCCCTCCCCTCATTCTCATAGCTTTCAAGACAATTTGCTGGGGGTCTGAAGAGCGTTCTCATGTTAGGAATCATCTGTAACTACACCCATGGAGACGAAGGTGTCGGCAGCAAGGCATGAAAAAAGTTAGGAAGATGCAACTGCTCAAATGAAGAGTAGGAAACTTTCATAAGTAGGATGGGGAAGTAATAACTATATCATTAGGATGTGCAAAAAGACTCAAAAATGCCCTAAAACTCCCCTCATCCAACCACACCCCTCTTTATTTTGCCCCCTGAGGCTCACTTCTCTTTGAATAAGAGATCAGAGAGTGGCAGAAGGGGAGGGGAGGTGACCAGATCAAAGCCATCATGTCAAAGTGGGAACTGGGGAGTTCATTATGGGTTGGGGTCAGACTTCTTGTGTTGGCACCTGGCAGCGGAGACAAGTCAGTGTGCCGAACACAGACGACTCAGATGGGAATTTGGTGGTGGAAGGAGTCCTTACCGGCACAGAGGCTCAACCAGATCCCGGTCCAGGAAGTCGTGGTCCCTTTTAACTGAGGGAATGTCGATAGGAAACTGGGAATCTGCCAGAACAAGACAAAGAGGATGAAGGAAGACAGAAATGGTGTGTTAGTTAATGAGTGACAGATGAGATAAATATTTTCTCCACTGCATAACAGTCGATTAAGTCTGAGGATTGCTGCCAACACTGTTAGCACTAACGAGAGAGAGAGAGAGAGAGAGAGAGAGAGAGAGAGAGAGAGTGGAATGGTATTTGACAGTATCTTATCAGTTTGAGAATAGTGATTGACAAGCTAATAGCTAGTCTGAACAGGGCCACATGGTCTTTAGAAACTCTAACCTCAGAACATTTATTGCAACTCATGGGCATGCTGTCGATAACCTTGACATTACCAGAAAGTTTGCAATAGACAAACGCACTTCCTGACGAGTAGGAGGCAGCACATGAAGCTGGGAAATGTGTCAAACACTCGGACCACCAACATCAGCACCCCCCAAGGCTGCGTCCTCTCCCCCCTGCTATTCTCCATCTACACCAACAGAAGCTCCTCCAACCACCAGTCCCTGAAACTGGTCAAGTTCGCAGATGACACCCACCCTCATTGTTCTCATCTCAGGCAAGGATGAGTCCATCAACAGGGAGGTGGACTGTCTGGTGCAGAAACAACAACCTGGAGCTGAAGGCCCAGAAGACAGTGGAGATGACTGTGGACTTCAGGAGAGTGTCAGCTCCACTTCCCCCATAACCCTGATGGACACTCCCATATCAACTGTGGACTCCTTCCGCTTTCTTGGGACCACCATCACTAGGGGTGGGAATCGAAAACTGGTGCTGGTTGAGAACCGGTTCTCATTGCTTCAATTCCTAGGAATCGTTCGCCACTTTTGCAAACGATTCCCCTTATCAATTCCAGTCTGCGCGAGTGACGTCACCACACACACGTTTGCATAGCTTACATAAGCAGGAAACACTTGAAATTTTGGCTATATTTGACAAGACAGGATGACAACAGGGTAACTTGCAATAACTGCAAAGTAGATATCTCATCAAGGAGAAGAAACACTACAAAGATACAAAAGCATTTGGGCTCCGGACTAATGAATTTCAATGCAGCAGCAGCGGTGACGTTCGCACGTCCTCTCCTGTTAAAACCGCAGGTAACTAATCAACTAACACTGCCTATTGCGTCATTTACCTCATAAACCATATTTTCCAGAACATAAGCTGCTACTTTTTTCCCACGCTTTGAACCGTGCGGCTTATAAAGAGGTGCGGCTTTACTGAAGATTTTCCTTCACTTGCCACTAGGGGGCGCTTTAGCAGAAAGTGAAACAGGTGGAAGTCAACAGTGGAAATCGAAGAAAGTGCTCATTTTAATTTAGCACATGCAAGCAGCTGGCACGACGAAGAATTTTTTTTCAAATCCATACCCCCTCATCATGGTAACTACACGTATGAGTTCATATGATGCCACATTTAAGTTGAAGGCCATCGATCTGGCAGTAAAGGAGGGAAACAGTGCTGCCGCACGTAAGCTTGGCATGAATGAATCCATGGTTCGGCGCTGGAGATGGCAGCGGGAAGAACTCATTCAAGCCAGCTTCACCCGGGGATGATGACAGCAACACGATGACATCGACACAGAAAAGGTATGTGACGAAGCTCTTCTGAGGCTGTTCAACTCCGACACTGAAGAGGACTTCAGTGGTTTCAGTGTGCAGGAGGAGGATGAATAAACGAATCAATACCTTTTCTGTTTTGTTTGATACTGATCAGCTCAGTTACGTTCAGTTAAACTACATTTTCAATTCAGCAGATATCCGGTGGATATCTGCGGCTTTTAGCCCGGTGCAGCTTATACAAGTACAATTCCATGTGTTTTTAAAAACTTAAGAGGTTCGGCTTATGTTGAGGTGCGCTCCATAGTCTGGAAATTAAGGTAACCACCTCCACACCAGTAGACTCCAGCGACTAAAGTTCGACCTGTGGTGAGATTTTTCCCACTCTGCAAAAAATACAGCAACACTGCACCAGACACGATGACTCTGCCTTCACAGGGAGAACACTTGAAAGGATCTTTCCAACCGATAAAGGTACAACTGACTATTTATCATAAACAAACCGAAAGTTATCATGCAGGAGGCCGTGTGCTATTAGTTTTTTGGCCACCTATTAACCTACTCCGTAATTGATAAGGGAATTGATGAGGATCGATAGACAGAATCAACAATGCCATTGATATTGATAAAAACTTATCAATTCCCACCCTAACCGTCACCCATGACCTCAAATGGGAGAAGTCCATCAGCTCCCTCATGAAAAAGGCCCAGCAGAGGATGCTCTTCCACTGGTAGTTAAAAAAAACTCACTCCTGTACTTGGCAATGAAGCTGATACTGATGTAAAATAACTTACACAGATTTGTATTTTGTTTTAGTGTATTTATTTATTTATTTTTGGCAGACCTAATTAGCAACTAGTTGTTGCACTTCCTGTGCATCTTGGAGTTTTGAAATGCCCTTTCTGCTTAAATAACTATAAAATAAGACAAAAGTGAAAGTTTAAAGGTTCGTTTTAATGATATTTGCATTATCTGTCATATCTTTCTCCATTTTGAGTTTTTTTTAAGAAAGCAATACTCCATTTTGCCCTTAGTGCTCAGACTAGCTGTTAGCATGTCACTCTGGTCAGGGTTAATCTCAGTTTCCACAGCAGGTGTTAATTTTTCATCATTCTTCTTCTCAAACACATCACTAAAAGAGTGCAGCTGTTTGTTGTGTAAGCAGACCCTAACCCGAAAATCACTCAATCTTGCAGTTTTTCTCAGAAAAGCAGTGTGTGTTCTGGAAAGAATGGCTTCTTGGATTAAAGGAGCCACTTCCTGCCTGTAGTAGACCTGATGATCATCGCATGAGCTAAACGCCTGAAGGTTTGCAAAGATGAGCCGGAGAGGAAAGAGGACAGAGATATTGGATTGATGCGAGAAACAAAAATAGAGTAAGCATAAGACACAGCACGTTTCAGCAGAGAGATGGACAAAAGGAATGTGGTAGGGGAGCTGAAGCACGAGGAGAAAGAGGAGCTATGAGAGTCCCAGCAGAGATACCAAGGCCTTTCCCATGACCCCTCCTCTCTGGAGAGGAGCTGAGGCCTGGAAATAGAATGCAGCAGCACAGAAGACAAGGATGTGGAGATGGAGGGATGGCAGGAAGAGAGAAAAAACATAGATGATGGAAAAGATCATGCAAAAAGGAAACAGAGGACAGACGGTAAACAAAAAAGTAGTAACTACAAGGAGTGGGGTTTTTGTGTGAGACGAGACAGCTGTATAAAGTGTGTGTGTGTGTGTGTGTGTGTGTGTGTGTGTGTGTGTGTGTGTGTGTGTGTGTGTGCGTGCGTGCGTGCGTGCGTGCGTGCGTGCGTGTGTGTGTGTGTGTGTGGTACCTTCATAGAGCTGAGCGTACTGTGGAAATCCCGCCGCTCGAAGCCAATCACAAGCTTCTTTAGCCTCAATCTCTGCAAGCATATAAAAGTTGAGCATTACATTTGATAAACAGATTTTGACCGTTTCATTTCTTCTGCGTAAATATTTCAATTAGATTTTACAGTTCTATCGAATTCTGATCTAACTATATGATAAACAAATGACATGAGTCAAAGGTCTAAAATTCTACGTGAACATTTCAACTACACAAGGAAGGAACATTCTGGAATGTATTTTTCCTTTGGGAAAACACCGGAATAAACTTCCTGTCTGGCACATGTTGAGAGAAATAGGATTGAATAGCTAACAGCTAGGCCAAGCACAACTAGACCTGAAGTAAAACTTTTCCAACTAAAGTTGCATGAACTGCTGTGAAATTCAGCCGATTAGAGTTGTTCAAAGATGGCAACTTGGCTGGTTTATCCTAGCCGTTAGCTCATCAGCTTATAAAAGCCATTTCTACAAACAAAGGCTGTTCAGGAAGCAATTTACATGTATTAGTAATAATGTAAAACTTCTGCATAATGGTAAATGGTAAATGGCCTGTATATGATATGGCACCTTCTAGAGTCCTGGAACCCCCCAAGGCGCTTTACAACACAACCAGTCATTCACCCATTCACACACACATTCACACACTGATGGTGATGAGCTACGATGTAGCCACAGCTGCCCTGGAGTTCACTGACAGAAGCGAGGCTGCCGAGCACTGGCGCCACCGGTCCCTTCGACCACCACCAGCAGGCAATGTGGGTTAAGTGTCTTGCCCAAGGACACAACGATAGCGACAGACTGAGCGGGGCTCTAACCTGCAACCTTCGGATTACGGGGCGAGCATATAACTTAAAAATGGCTCCAATGTCCCTGTTTCTCTGGTAGAGCAGTCAGTGTCTTACTGACACACGGACTGAGCTATATTTATATAAAAAACTATTAAAACTAAACAAAGTCTAAAAAACATGATGTTTCAATACAAAAGTGAACTTTAACACACCACATAAATATTAGTACTTAAAAATAGTTTTTTACTTTAAGTTGTATTACCACCTTTGAATGAATAAAAAAGACAGACTGTGAATGTAAATAAGGAAAATGTTAAAGATGCAGGTAAAGAAACAGCAGGGTCACACGCTGCACCACAACTCATGACACCCCACTGCCAACACCACAAGACCTTTTACAGCCCTCTGTTTTACAGCTATTTTCCACCAGCGCAGTTTAACCCAGCATGTGTGTGTGTGTGTGTGTGTGTGTCAGGAGATGATTAAACTCTTTGTGCTGACATGACTTCAGCACGGTAGAAGTCAGAGAAACACATTTGCTTCTGCACATGTAGAAATGTTGAGACTGAGACATTAAAAATAAAAACTGAATAAACCAATAAGTTATGAATTTAATTATGTCTGGCTCGTTTACTACACCGTTTTTGTCCTATACTCCTTCCAACACGCACTCATGGACTCTCGATCGCCTCAGTCAGCAGTTTAAAGTTTTGAGCAAATTCAGCAAAGCAAAATGAGGCAACAACAAAACTTTTAAACCTCTCTGTGCCCAAAAAGTTTGAGGAACTGATACGGTCACCACAATCTAGCAGTTACATCCCTTCTCCGACATTCCGTTCATAATCCGTCCCTCTAAATCACGAAGCAACGATCTTGGAAAAAATAACAGAAAAAACACATTTTTGAAGCTTTCTGAAAACAGATGGAGAAATTCCAAAGGAGAGTGATTCCTCGTGCTGCCCAGACTTACTGGATTCCCTCATGGTGAGGAGTACGGGATGCTCCTGTAACTCTGCTGAATTTTAATTCCCATCCTGTTGAACATCCATCCAGCGCTCTCCTCCCTGCTGCCTCTCCAGACCGTTCGTTTACAGCTCTGCCTCCCTCTTCCAAACGGCTCCATGCAGGTTTTCTCTCCCCTCTAATTTTCCACTCAACCTTCTCTCTCTCACTTTCATCATCGTCAGCATCCACATGCAAAATCTGTCTGTTTTTACAGTTTCTCTCTGCTCTGCTTCTTCCTTCTTGTCTCACGCAACTTTCCTCCTAAACATAAAATAAATAAAAACAAACCTCCCTATGCTTTCTGCTCTCAACCCTTCTTTACAATCCCTCACACTTTCTTTCATCTATCGACAGAATCCTCCTGATCCCCAGTCTCTCTCCTAGCTCTTACAGAAAAGTCCACATCTCCTCCGCGGGCACCAGATCTGCTGTGGGCCCGCCAGGTCCACGCAGGAAATGACTCATTTCAGCTGCTGTTTGCATCAGCCAAACTCTGGAGGTTGCAGGCTGACAACCGCTGGACCCTCGCTTCACGTCAGCTGCTGGAGGCTTCACCAGAAGACTGTGTGGGAGAATTCAGAGTGTACTCACTCACGTGTGCACACACTAGAGACTTTAAATAGTCCAGATGTTGCCCCCAGTGAGTCAGAGAAGGCAGAAAGGATGAGCTAGTCAGACAGCTTCAGGGACAGGGAGCGGAGCTGGAGCTTGTGGGAAAACCGCAGGGAGGACGGCATTCCGCCACTTGTTTGTTTACTCGGTGTGAAACTGTAAAAATGGTCGACTCTTTCAGAAAGGTCGCATTTAATTTGAAATAATGAGGGAAATCTTTAGATTGTTGAAAATTACAAACCAACTAAACAACAGCGGGTTATAAAAGTAAAGCTTTGGATTTATAACTTGTTTTTTGACTAGTTTAATGCAAACAAGACCTGTTTTCAATTGGATCTGATATTTTCTTGTTGACAATAGTGGAAAAGATTAGAATTTTATTGAAATTAAAGGCTTAAAGGCACACTTGGCTGTTTTCCTTGCATTTAGCAGCCCCTGGTGTCAGTTATTAATTATCTGTGGTCAAAGCAAAACTGAAACTTATCTCCTCGCAGCACGTTTGTTATTTTAACACCTTAATCCAGGGCTATTCAATCCCGGGCCATCCAGGGCCGGTATCCAGCACCTTTTAGTGGTTTCTCTAGTCCAACATATTAGATTCAGTGGTTGAATCACCTGTGCACAGGGTTGGACCGGCCTATCGGGCATCCTGGCACTGTCCCGGTGGGCCGCTTAGCCAGGTGGGCTGCTTGCCCAGCTTGGGCCGACACTACTCCACATGTGGTGACCTGCAGAACATTAGCTACATGGTAACCCGAAGCTTACAGAGTGTTTCCAGGCGTTTTTAGCAAGAAAAACGCGGTAGAGCGATGACGTAGGAGTTGTTTTACTGAGTTAGCATGTAGCTAATGACCCGGTGATCTCCGCCCGTGGAGAATGAGCTGATCTGGAAGGCCAGGGCTCCCGGTCGCAGCGGTCTGGCCCTGCTTGTAATGTAACAGTCCCAGTCCATATTAGATCTCACATTCAGCCCATAGACCAGTCCGTGGGCGGAAACACCCCCCACCCCACCGCTCTCCCAATGGGGATGGCCAAATGAGGGCCGACGATTCGTAAAAATTCCAGGGCCTAATTTTGATCCCAGTCCACCCCTGCCTGTGCAGCAGCTCACCAGGCTCTGCAGAAGCCTGTTAATCACCTGCTGATTGAAATCAGGTGTGTTGAAGCAGGGTTAAAACCAAAATGTGGTGGATACTGGCCCTTGAGGCCCAGAATTTAATAGCCTTGACATAATCTAACAGCTGAAATGTCTCTCCAGCCTTCATTAGTGTTTACAGGAGTGATTCATCACTAAATGAAACAAATCAGCTGTGTTCCTGATCTAAAACATGCAGGAAATGTGCTGGAGACAGACTGCAGTGACAGGAATGAAAGCTACATTTTTTTTGTGTTTAACAGGTGCCGGACCGGCACTCTGAAGTTGCAAATGTGGTATTCTGACCACAGAGGGTGGTGGGGGGTCTGAGTGACATTTCATTAACCCTGTAAAGGATCATTTTAGTACATACTGGCTCAAGAAAAAGATTTAAAATTGAAAAAAGTTGCATTTAAGGGGTTGATAATAAACACTTTCATGACATTCTTTGATCCAAATTCCTCGCCCATAAAGACCTTTCAGCCGTTTTTATTCTTGACATTTTCAGGGCCTTCCAGAATGAGCCGTCTCAGGACTCTGTTACTTTAAGAAAACAAGCCACACCCACCCATCTCTCGCTCAGGCTGCTATAAGCTGAGTAACTCCAATATCCAGAGTAGAGCTGCTGCTCCTTCTACAGCAGCTCTTTTGTGCTCACAAGGTGGTTCTATGTAGTTAGCCTGAATGTAACATCACAAAGGGGACTTTTTGAAAGTACTTGTAATAATTCCACTGACAGAAAACAGATGGACAGGTTATTTTCACATCTGGAGTGTTTCTAGCTGCATTAGAAACCCACATAGTTGCATAAAAGGATACAAAACGAATGTTAACCTAATATTTCCCCTTTAAATGATCAAATTCTGATGCATTATATGTCACTATATTAAGTTATAGTGCTCCAACTAAATTGCAATAACTATTTTACCAGCTTTCATCCTTTTGCAGAATCACACAATCTTCTCTGACACTTTTATATGATTAATTTAAGATTTTCATCCACCATAACAAAAGTTTTTTATTACATATTAGCTAAAATTTGATGCTAACAATTTAAACCAAGATATGTCTGGAACAGAAAGCCTCATTAAAACCCTGCTCTTCTATAAATGCAAAATGCTTTTCTGCAGAATTGCATCAACCTGTAATGAACAAACATTCCACGTTACATTGAAGCTACTGTTTAAAAACGCAAAACGACATGCTCGGTTAAGAAAGGTGCACTCGCTGTCGACAGCTTCCATGTTGTTTGTTTGTGCAGAGAAACAAGCTCCTGTCAGCGTGGGAACAAAGCACCATTATTCATCTGTGCAGAATTTAATCAAGAGATTAATTAGTACACAAACAGGCAATAAGTAGGCCACCAAACACCACAAAGCACACAGTCGGATGGAGCTAATCCGAGCTGCCAACTGTGCTTTTCCCCTCTGTTTCAAGTCACTGCAGTCCTGCTGCGGGGAGTAAGTGACAAGAGAAAAGGCAGACGGTTGGTGTGTGTGAGCTCCACTGTGTGTTAGAATATGAATTTGTGCTCCTCTGTGTGGGACAAAGAGGTACATAACAAGTGTGCCAACGGTGTTACATAATAGGCTCAAAACAAGCACCCTAATGTCCTCACAGCCTTTTTTCTTTAATCAGAGTTCTTTCTCTGGCTTTCATTTCCTGCCTTTTATCCGATGCCGCTAACCTCGACTTTCAAACTGCTTTTTTTTAAATTATCTTTATTCTGCTGTATCCACCTACTCCTGGGTCTCAGGGACCATAAAGGGCCACACATGACATCATTTCCTGCTTTTAATTTCCCAGAGCGACATGTGGGCTAAGAACGGCAGCAGGAGCAGGAAGTTTCTCGGCTGAGCGGCTCAGAGGGGATAACTGACACTGAGAGGAACTACAGAGTATTTTGTGTTTATTTGATGTAGTTGTTGTTTCTTAAAGCAGTAATTTGGAGTTTTTGACCTTTTCGGGGATTTTGTATGACTTCTAGAAGTCCACAGAAGTCTATAGAAGTGATGGTCTTGTTCTGTACTATGAAGAAGAAAAAGAAACCATCTTTTATATAGCTCCTCTCAGGATCACGGGGCGCTTCACAAAAAATTACCTTTAAAAAAGAAAAAAGAAAAACATATTTTAATTGAAAGAAAGTGGTAAAGTAATAATTGGATTACAAATGTGTTCTTTTGCTAACCCCGCCCCACATCCTGCAGATGACACCATGAATTTGGCGCTGCTCAGCATTAGCCAATAGCATTGAACATCCGTTTATGTACAGATGTCAGTCTCAGAGTATGTGTGTGCGCGTTTGTGGAATAACCTCGAATGATGCAAAGTCGGCAACATTTCTAATGAAGTAAGTTTTTTTATATAAATATGAGAATATTATTAAAGGTGTGGTTCACTCATTTAATTAATACATTTGCAGTGGTCTCTAGTAGGAATGAATGCTTTGTTAGTTGTACTCTGGCCACTTAAAGCCCTGGTGCGCATGTTTCAGGATCTAGAAGATTGCCAGATCAGAGGAGAGTCTCGCTTCCTGATATTTGGACATCTCACCTCTGATTAGCTAACAACAATATGACTCTACTGACCGTTTATTTTGGAACACTGATGTTTTATCTTCACAAATAACGCAAGCCTGGAAGAGTTCTGCTATGTGGTGGAGTTTTTAATGCTAAAGGCTAGCTTCTAGCCGAGAGGTTCTCTGCTGTCTTCTGGACGCTACACCAACAGCAGCCTTCACTTTCATGTGTCAAGATGGATGACACCATGAATGTTAAGTGACAGTGTGATGTTGACCTGTCAGGTTTTTCAAATCCTTGCATTTCTATTTCCTATCAGAGGCTAATGCAGGAGATAGAAGTAGGAGACTAATTTCTTGTTCAGCCTGCATGAAAAACTCAAGAGTGACCAATTATAATTAATCATAAAAAATCATTTAAAATGTTTTTCAGTGAACTACGCCTTTAAAGGATGTATTTTCACTCTGCTGTCGGCTCAAGGTGCACGCTCACATATGAGAGGTGTTGCTTTCAGTCACCGAAGCAGAGGAGCAGCCAAACAGTGCAATGCATTTTTCTACCTCTAGATGGGGCCCTTTGAGAAAAAACTCTGGACTGGTGAGCATTTTTGAATATATGATAGATAAGAAGCAGGAGACAATAACACACACACACACACACACACACACACACACACACACACACACACACACACACACACACACACACACACACACACACACACACACACACACACACACACACCTTGGAGAGCACCCATGTTCCCACACATGAACTGCACTTCAGTATGTGGTGTTAAATTGTGGAACTCGTTACAGAATGAGTTAAAGACACGTGGAAATATTTTTCTCTTTAAGAGGTTATATAAAAATAGAATATTTCAAATGTATGGACTTGCTGAATAATGGACATTGTGGAGATTGTAAATTGGTGAAATATATAATTTTAGTCTGATATTGGATTTGTTTGTTTGGAGGGTTATTGACTGACAGACCATCGATGTGTAAATGTTTTTTACCGGTATATATGTTTAAGAATGGAGCAGGTATTGTAAGATTTTTCTTCTTCCTGCTCCTTTTCAGTCATGGTCGTGTTGTAACATCCGTCTCTTTTAACGTATTGTTTAATTGAGATGTGCACAGCCAGGTGCAAAATATTATAAATTAATGAAATGAAATGAAAATGAAAATGGACGTAGTTTTGGGGGGGACAAGGGGGGACATGACCCTCCCAATTTTTCCAAAGTCAATTTTTGTCCCCTGTACTTTTTACCATCCAAAAACTATAATATGCTATATTAAATAGACATGAGCACTAGGACCAAGTGGAAAACAACCACTTGTGTTGAAGCCCGTTTCCCATTAGAACCGTCCATAAGCTCGTCTATTGGCTCTGCTGAAACTCGCTAGCGTGTGATTGGCCGTTCCTTCCACCTGTGTACTTGACAGTTCTGCATGCCTGACATTGCATAAAAGAGCCTCTAGGCTCTAGTTTTATACATATTTTTTGTATACTTACTGTAAAGATCCCCAAACCCCACCGGTCCTCATGCCGGTTGTTTGTCCCCTACTTCTAAAGTCAAAACTACGTCCTTGTTCCCACATACACTTAAGCTCTAGTCCTCCATGTTTAAGGGTCAAAACGAGGCAGTGGAAGAATGATGGAACATGAAAATGTCGGTCCAGTCTCAAACGCTTCATCTGCAGCGATGTCCTGCCCTCAGGAAATTTCAGTAAAACTGAATCACTTTTATACAAGACAGGTGCAGGTTCAGCATCCATTACAGTGTTTTAACAAACACAAATGTTCATTATGAGACAAATACCGCAGCAGGTCTATAAAATGTGGGGGTTTTGTGTGCATTTACTGCCTGGATTGGAGACACAGAAGGAAGATCATGTTTGTTTGGTCATGCAGATGTTCCTCCAGCAGAGGGTGTTACAGAAAAGTGTTACAGGTCCAGTCCAATCACATCGGATCATAGCTTCAGGCTAAGACTGCAAGAACAACTGTCTGGATCACATCTGAGTTATTCAGACTGTTTACGATAAAGGCAATTAGTATTGGTGGCAGTTAAACAAATAAAGACCTTTTTTTGCATTTAATTGGAAAAATAAATGTCTGAACTTGAGATAGGTGTGTTCATGTCACACAAAACTTCATGAAACAATAAGGAATGAACGAGAGACTACATGCTAATCTAAAACGATGTGGCTGCATCTGAAAAGCTGAATTACAAAAGCGTGTTTTGTCTCTGCATTCAGATTCAATTTCACCATGATGCAAAGGAATAACCGCTAACCTGTAGCCATTTAAGCACAGTGATGCTGACCTACAGTAAAAAGTTGCTGAGATGTAAAAACAGGAGATGTGTTCAAGTTTCAGTCTATAGGCGGCCCAGTAAACAACTCTACATCACATCAGTTCACAAATCCGTTTGCCAGAATGACAAAAAACACAAACATCAGCCTTACTGGCAAACAGCTGATGCATAACCTCTGTCACTGACTCAGCAGTGAGCAACACACAAATATGTATTTTAATCTTAGAAGCAAACCTAAAAAATAACTTTAAAGTGAATTATTTATTTTCATGTAGCATGAAGCAGGAATGGGGACCTAGGTTGTGTGTGAGACGTTTATAATATCAGATGGATGTGCAGCAACTGAGCTTTAGTATAATTTAATGCTTTCTCCTCCGACTAGCTGCTGGGATGTGGGTTGCTCTGATCCGTGTGTGTGTGTGTGTGTGTGTGTGTGTTGAAAGAGGGTGTATTAGTGGATGAAGGAGGGAGTGGAAGTGTTAGAAGTCGTTCCATCACCGCCACTTGCAGAAACATGTTTTCCTATCGACATTCCTGTCATGTTTCCCTTCACACATGCAGTGTTAGACTAATGGAACCTAATTAATTACAGAGGAGGAGGTTTTTGACACATTTCTGTCCTTTTTTTTTTTTACATGAAGTCTTGGAACAGAAAATAATGTCATCCTTCAAAAATATACCGTGAAATACTGAAGAACAAGCACATATTTGGAATATGGTCGCTTACAGCAAACAGACGAACATGTTTGTTATTTTTTTGTTAGATGTTGTGTTTTCTTTAGGAAGCTAGAGTCATGTGACAGGAAATAAAGGAAGCGACCACTTGGTTAGGTGAAACACAAACAATGACGCTCCAGCCTTCCTGGGTTTTGTCTTCCACCGGATTTATGAAAAACATATTTGGTATAAAAGCGTCTCCAATTTAGTGAAACCAGGTTTTTACACATTGCAAAACGTAAATAGTTTAAGAATGTCAGAAAGTTAATGAATCGCCTTTAGTATTTAAATCGCGCTGACAATCTTTTGATGCAGGTATGTTCAGGCGTTGTCACCCTCACAGAAAGAACAGCCTCTTTTATGCCATCATTCAGGGGCGGTTCTAGGAGGGGCCCAGGGTGGGCCAGTGCTACCCTGACAGAAAGCTTGGGCCCCCTGTGACCCCCCTGCTGAGGGCAGAGCCTCAGCATTAGTAATCCTGATTTATTTAAATTTTTTGTGATAATTTAGCCTAATGTGAAATGTTTAAAACAAAACATGTGAGTTAATTCATCTGAAATTGATCAGAATTGCCAAGAGAAATATTTTCATGTTGCCACTGAGATGAAATAACTTTGATGATGCATTCTTTTTCTGTTGAATTTTGGAACAACTTGTTGTATCTAAAGTTACTGTAACTGAATTGATGTTTGATATTGTTATGATAACTCACTGAAATTCTAAATAATCGAAGGCTTGTTTGTAGTATTTTTTTTTTTTACAAATGTGTCTCTAACAGAGCAGCTGCCCGCCTGTAGTAGTATTCTAGCACCCTCCCTGCCATCAGAATCAAAAGTAAACTGGTCAAATGTAAGGATTTGTTTAACAGCTTCATTTGATTTCCCAGGCCATACTTAAAGAGCAAGTCAACCCCTACCAGAGTCTAACTCCACTCCCACCTCATGTTTGAAAAATGCAACAAATGCTGTTGCCTGGCAGACCGAGAGGGCGGAGCCACTAACAAATACACACACACACACACACAGGCTCACAACAGCATTGTGACATCACAATGTACCAGTTTACGTCATAGCATACCTCTTAGCCAATAGCGATGGCAGATTTAAATTAAAATACAGTGCAGAGTTTTTACCTGACAACGGCACAACACTGCCAGTTTTAGGCAGATTATTTAAATTTTAACTAAGATTAATTAAAGTGCCAAATTATTGACGACACGTGTCTACAGAGCAATTAGACACTCATTTATATAATTTATCAGCAAAAATAAGTTGATTTGGGGGTGACTTGCTCTTTAAGCAGCCCCATGAGCAGCAACATATCGAAATAAAGAAAAATAATCCAAGTGAGGATGCGTTTCAACTTTAATATAGCCTACATACCAATTCCAGTTTTGGCTATAGTAAGTGTGACGGCTGGAGTCTTCCCTTTAAGCCTCCTTTCCACCGGACGTACTGCATAACGAGCAAGGAGAACGACAGCTGCATGAATCCAAAAAGGGCTGGTTTGATTTCTATTTCGCTCACCTTAGCTATGCTGGTTTCACAGGAAATGACATGCGTTTTTTTGCATGTCCCTTTTATTTTGAAAGTTTCTGGATGTTTAACGCTGCCTTTGTGTTTGACTTCCTGTCTGGCTTGAGCCAACCTGTGGAGTTTGACGTGTCTTGGAAGCGTAGAACTTAAAAATGGACTGGAAACGTGATGATAGCGTCCATTTGGTTCTGAGACGCATCCAAAATGTTGCACTTAGCTGGTGGAAAGGAAACCGGCCACTTTGATGGCGACTGCCACAAAGTACGTTTTGCAGCCATTTTGCATTGCTTTCACATCCTGTGGAAAGGATGCTTTACGTTTCAATGCCGACCTTTGACTCTGCAGCCAACAAGTGAGTCTCTGTATGTCTGTCCTCTAAAATCCCATTTTACATCCTCTTTAAAAATTATTATTTTTTTAACCCACAGGGATGCCACAGATTCTCAGGTTACGTTTTAAAGCTGCTGGACTTCTTTCTCAGATTTTTTTTCTACCTTGTGCCAGCCTCTTTAACAGCAGTTGGCGAGCAATGATGCGAGAGAGGCGCAGGGCGGAGCGCCGCCGCGGGGTGTCTCCCAGCCTCAGGTAGTAATCCTGTCCATCAGGTGTCATGGCCCCCAGACATGTTTCTTCAAAGGCGGAGTCGCTGTCACTTTCATTGTCGTCGCTGTCGTCTTTGGCGCCGTCATCCATCTTTTCCACGTTATCAATGTCTCCAGTCCTGCTGCATGTAAGATCATGGCTATCTTCACTGAAGACAGCGTCCAAAGTCACTGTGTCATCCCTCTGTGTGTCCACTGGAGGAGCGAGCTGCTCAGAAACATCCTCCCCTTTGGCTGTTGTGTTGTTTAAATTTGCACCCTCTTCCTGTCTTGCGTCATCATGTTCTAAGGTCTCACTGTCCTCTGCGGTGCCCACATCATCCATAAAGGTCGAAATCCCATCTCCAGCTTCCATTGTAATCCCAGACATAAATAACAACAACCAAGTCTTCCTCACTCTCACTACGAGGAGCTATTGTGTGAGAATTCCTGGTGAATTCCTGCCTCCAACGTGTCCTCACTGGAAGACACCCGCCCTCCCACCGAACCGACCAAACACACCACCTGACTCGGGTGGCTGTCTCTGTTACACACACGCACGGCTGCTGCTCTGCTTCCTTAAGCGCTGCCAAGGAAACGGTTTGCTCCAGAGTGCATGTGGATGTCTGAGCGGGGCATTCCTGCGATCAGCTGGACGCAGGCCTGGAAAAAAGTATGATCCCAACGGCTACCTCCTAACGTGGAGTACGGAAGGAACAGAACAATGGAGAGTGTGTGGGTGTGAGAGTGTGATGTGAGGAATGTGTGAAGGAGCATTGTTTCTCCCGTGGTGCCGCAGAGAAATGTTCCCATCATGTTTATTCCATCAACTCCATACGTGACATTTAAAGTTGCTGCTTAAACCCACACTCACTGTCCAGAGTTCATTTAGAGGAATGAAACTGAAGAAAACCAAGCATTTGATTGGTCAAAACTCTTTAATGGACAAAAAAAAAGTGAGAGTTTGTGTCAAATTAAGTGAGAAAAGTTGTAGAACATTAAATGTGTGGTTGGGTTTGATCACACTGCCCTCTTGAGGAAATCCAGGAAAGCATCCTACTTCCGAATTTGATCTGAACTATTTTTAGGTTAAAAAAAATCTTAAGACAAAATATCCAGAAGATTTTTTGGACTAAAACGTCAAAATAAAAGTAACACTAAAGAGGGAAAACATTTTATCTGCGAGGGTGGTTCTATGAGGTGTCCAGGGTGGGCCAGTGCCACCCTGACTGCAAAATAATCATAACCTGCCCTGAAAATCAGCTAAAAAAATTAACTTAAGCTTTTTGAGAGTTAGATGCACATAATTTTGTTTTCTCAGACAAATATCAAATTAAATTGTAGATGACAACCCTGCATGTCAAAGACTCTTGAAAGTGACAGAATTTTCATCTCTCAAATTCCTTTGCTGCACGTTTGGTTGATCACAATTTCTTTGTTTTTCTAACGCATAAGATGTTTTGTAGATCATATTTACAACAAAGTATGCTCAATTTATTAAACTATGGTCTGGTGACACAAACACGAAGGCTTTCAATAAATTATAAACCCAAAATGCATGAAATCTATACATTTTTACACACCTAAATATCCACAACCAGCACATGGAGGAGTGTTAGAACTGTGAGGAAACTGAAATCCTCTCCTCCATATTAAACAATAGTCTTGTGTGTAATTCTGCAACTGAAAGTACAAAACTGAAAATGAAACTAAACCCACTGCAGCTACTGGAAACCAGTGCTTAGAGCAGCAGTAAAAGACAGCTCCAGTACAGCAAAGCCACAGTGGGAGGAGATGATTCATGAGAAATCTGTTTATCTGTATTAAATCCTTCTAACTCCATCCATGCTTTCTAACAAAACACACACACACACACACACACACACACACACACACACACACACACAGCAGAACTAAAACCTACAAATCCCACAGTTAGAGGAAGCCCCACCCCCACTACTAATCCAAAAAATCTGTGGAATTACAGCTAAATCCAAATCTGCACTCTTGGTTTTCACACACAAAAACACACAAACTGAACCAACAACAATAACAAATCAATGAATAAATGTAGCTGAGTGTGTGTCTCATGCATCTGCATATTCACTTAAAATCTATCTGAATTAGTTTGGGGTTTTTTGCATAATTGTTATTAACACACCTGTATTTTATTGCTACATTTCATTTATTTTATTTTGAAAGTGCACCTCTATCAGAACAAAGCCATTTCCTTATGACGAGATGACGGCTACAGCGTGCAGCTTTGTCATCAGACTGCTCTGCACTGAGTGGAACCCCCCCACCCCCATCTCCAAATCTGATCAGGACAGATTTGGACGCTGTGCCTTTGAGCTGATGGGTTCTGCAGTAGAATGAGGAGGGGTGAGGAGGACGAGCCCAGGGTTCTGGGGGCTCTATATGAATCAGAATGAAGATGCATAAATATTGAATCACTCTTGATAATATTCTGTTTGTGCTTCTGACTTTTACATGAAAACATGCTGCTCAACTGGGAGAAGCGGGCTGTAACTTTGAGAAGACAACAGCCGGATTTTGATAAAACAGCTGAGAAAACCCCACCCCCTTTGGAGCTCCATATCTCAGGTGTACTCCAGAGTAAAAACCTCATTCGAAGTTAATATTTTGATCCTTTTTGTAGTTTTTACACAATCACATGTTTAGTTTTAGTTTTATGAAATTCGAAAATTTTCCCACAGAATGTTTGACTAATGTTTAAATGTTATATTTACTCATATTTTAATTTATTTGTAGTCGTTTCTAGGAATGAAATGGTAAATGGCCTGTATAGTATGTATACACCACCTTCTAGGGTTCTACAAGCACTTAACTAACCAGTCATTCATCCATTCACACACACACACACACACTCACACGCTGGTGGTGATGAGCTACATTGTGGCCACAGCTGCCCTATGGGACGTAACGATGGAAGCATGCTGGTCCCTCCAACCACCACCGGCAGACAAGGTAGGTTAAGCCCAAGGACCCAACAACTGCGACAGACTGAATGGGGCGCTTACTTGCAACCCTCCTCGTAGGAATGCCTAATGCCTAAAGGCACGGAGACCGGAAGCTTGTGATTGGCTTCCTGTAAATTTGTCAACAGCACCGTCATTGCTCCCTCATAAAGTAAAAAAAAAAAGTTAAGCGGCAGACCTGGAACAGATTGAAAAATACATGGCGGAAAAAAGTCTGAAAATGTAAAAGTTTATTTACCCGTGACTAAAGAAATCCAAATAGCTGCAGCAAGAGTTGTATTTGTGGACAGGAAAGACTAGAAACTCGAGTTTAGAGGTGCCGATCACATGAAGAGGTGGATGGGAGACAAGTGTGTTTGCGGTTAAGTGTCTCTGAAATACATTCAGACAATGTAAACACAACAGTAAGCACACCATCGTGGGCCCGATACGCGACTGTAATGCTGGCAGGACACAATCCCCAGCTGACGGAGTAGTCAGAGAGCAAAACATCTCTGTCAATGCGTGGGTTTCGCTCCCTCGCAGAGCTGACTGAGAAGTATAAATTAGACTTAAGTCATTCACTGGGGAAAATAAGCTCCGGTGCGCCTGTTTGAAGACTCGGATTTATAGTCTACTTCCTGATATTTGGACATCTCACCTCTGACTGGCTAACAGCAACTCTACCACTGACTCTGCAATGTTGATGTTTTATCTCCACAAATAACCCAAGCCTAAAGGAGTTTGACTGTGTGGTGGAGTTGCTAATGCTAACAGTTAGCTTCTAGACGTTCTCTGCCATTTCCTGGATGCTGCACCAACAACAGCCTTCCCCATTGTGAAACAAGAGGGGTGAGTTCATCAGTCTGACAGTGGGACATAGATCTGTCCTAGTTTTCTGAACAGAGTTTTTCTGCCTATTTTCTATCCAAAGCTAATGCAGGTAAAATACTATTTTCATGTTCAGCCTGCATGTTAAACACAGTGTTTTTGAAAATGATCAGTTACCAAGTAAAAAACGGTTTCTCTGTGAGCCTGCTCTTTAAATTCTATACACCCTTGTCCTCTTTCACCCACTGACACCACATCGAAGCTTCTTGCTGACTGTCTTTGGGGTTCTCTCAGGGAGACGTCTGTGTGTGGTTACCATGGCGACCCTAATGAGCCAATGGCAGCAACTTTAACACTTCTTTGAAGCTTGGCCGAATAAACATTCTGAGCATATTTTATTATTGTGCAACATCATTCAGAAATGTTAAAATGATTTTTCGTTATTGTCTCACAGCTACTTGAACTGGCCATGCTCTGATGGACGTGCTGCTCTGTGGTGTTTTAGAGGGTTGTCAGTGTGGGAATGCGCTTTATTCAATTTGTTTAAGTGGCGCACATCTCTGTAATTACATTAAACCGAAGAAACAGCTGCAGCTCCCTCTCTCTCTCCCTTATGCTCACCCTCTTCTCTTCTCTTCCTCCCTCTGACGCACAGCGCACCAGAGTCTGCGCATCCGGACCGCTGTGTGAATACAGAGCAAACCGGCTGACCCCCCACCCCACAAAAAATACTTGGTGCATTAGTGCGCGCGCTGTTAGACCCTTTAGACGTAGTTTAGGAAATCCAAAACGTGCATGCGTGCAACGGACCCACGTGACAAAAATCCGTGACGAAAGAGTGCAGCTACCACCGGACTGGAGCAGAATGAGTGGCATCTGAGAGCTCTGCTGAACACCTCTCCACAGCACATGCCTGCGCTGGCTGGAGCACTAAATTTGACAATGACCTTCCCAAAATAATCTGCGCCAGACGCGTCAGGAGGAGCCTCTGCAGCAGCAGTCTGTACAAACTGGGCATAAACTTTTGTCCTTCTTAAAATATCTTCAGAGCGTTCATGAAAGTAAAATAAAATAAAGAAAAACAAAT